TCCACAGGATCATTTCGTAGTAAAAATGCAGGTCATTCAAAGGAAATATAGGTTTCAACATCCCCGTCTATATGAATATTGATCTTTTTCAGACACCAAAGGTAAGTTTAAAACAGAAATACTTCTTACGAATCCAAATTACATTTAAACTTAGAATTGTGATCTACGATCTTATGGGTATGTCACAAATTTGATTAGATACATTCACTCAGCAGGCCGTTAAACATGATGTAATTAACTTTACAAGCGTGACTATAGGTAACTTCGATTTTAGTATGTTCAAGTTCTGTTGTCTCGAGAGTCAAACGATTATCATAGTTTATTTGGCTTGCTTTTAGAATTGGGAAAACAAAGGCAAGGTTTATGTTTTATGAACATTCCGATTTGATAGCAAACTTTATTTTTGAATATAAAATCATTAAATCAAATAAAGCTTATTGCGTCGGGACCTGTACGTTCGCCAAATTAAAGGCAAATGTGCCGTCAATTAAAGAAACATGCACAGTGGTACACCGTTTTTGGAAAACATAACACTGATAATAAAAATTCATCAATTGTTATGAAATTTGCACCATCATTAAAAAGAATCTCGAATTTCATGATGACAAAATATCGGATAAATATGACAAGAAATAAAAATTTGTTACATTTTTTCCCAAAAAGTTGTAAAATAAAAATAAACTAAAAATATAATATTTTCACGACAAAAAATAAATAGTTCAACTGTATTGATTATACATGACGTTTTCAAAGAGTAGAGAGCTAGATTCAAAGCACCGTTCCTGCAAGTTTCAAATGAAAATACTAAAAAACGCGCGCGTATGAGAACCGCAACTTTCTATGTCTGCATTGACAAAAACGTGAAATCCCCGCTGTAAAGATATAGTCCCATGCGGATGTGCACGTCATAAAACTGATGGGTTAAGGCAATGTGTCGTCCTACTGCTTTAGTGGGCCTCATTTGGCATTAATTGACCTTTTTGGGCTTTATTTTTTGTTCAATATAAGGCCAAATTTTCAAAAAACGGGCTATAAATTTTAAGAATTTTCGCCCGAAATTTGGTTTTAGGGCCCTAAAAATTTTACGCGCGGCCCTAGGATGGGCCCAGAAAAAACATTTTGGGCCAATAATATTGTAGGGCCTCTTTAGTTGGCCTTTACTTGACCTTTTACATTGACCTTTTTGGGCCTTATTATTTCAATTTTAGGCTAAATTTTCAAAAACGGGCCATACATTTTCAAAATTTAGGCCCAAATTTTGGTTCTAGGGCCCTAAAAGGTTTTCCGCGTGGCCATAGGATGGGCCCAGAAAAAAATGTTGGCCCAAAAATATTGTAGGGCTTCTTTAGTGGGCCTCATTTGGCATTAATTGACCTTTATTTTTTGTTCAATTTAAGGACAAATTTTCGCCTGAATTTTGGTTTTAGGGCTCTAAAACTTTTACGCGCGGCCTTAGGATGGGCCTAGAAAAAATGATGGGCCAAAAATATTGCAGGGCCTCTTTAGTTGGCCTTTACTTGACCTTTTTACTTGACCTTTTTGGGCCCTTCAAAATTTTCAAAATTTGGTTATAGGGCCCTCAAAGGTTTTCTGCGCGGCCATAGGATGGGCCAAGAAAATAATGTTGGCCCAAAAATATTGTAGGGCCTCTTAAGTGGGCCTTTTTGGGCCTTACTTGACCTTTTTGGGCCTTATTTTTTCAATGTTATGCCAAATTTTCAAAAAGCTGGCCATAAATTTTCAGAATTTTGGCCCAAATTTTGGTTTTTAGGGCCCTAAAAAGTTTTTCCTCGCAAGTGCGGATATTTTTTCATGACTTGAAGTGTGGGCCCCCCTTGTTAGCTTCCGGATCCGCCACTGTCCTTTACAATACAAAGGGGCTTGGTTTAGCATGGGGAATTTTTTTTTTTGGGGGGGGGGGGGGGTTGCGGGGGGGTTCGAGCCCCCCTTACAAAAAGCTGGCTACGGGTATGAATAACAATAGTAAAATGCTAATGGACTTCATGAGACCAACATGTCTTGTAACTGGAACTGAATATATGTTGAAAGCAATACAAGTTATGGGGAAAATACGTCGAATACGTATACGTCTTCTGCTAGCCAAAATGGCCTCAGCCGGGACGAATCTAAATTGCGAATGGTCTATGTGGAACGAAACTGTAGCAATTTCTATCAATGCAATATCATTTATGGAATAAATAGTCTAAATAGTCGATCAAAGATCATTTATATAATTCAAATAAGCATGCATAAAGAATTTGTTTTCAGTGAAGTCGAGAAGAATTGAGTCCATCTGAACCGACGCTCAATCACTTTGTCCATTGGTGTCAAACGTCACGCACGTTAGAATTTTATTGGTTCTATTCTATTTTCTGCATACAATAATTGACGAAATTTTCTGAACTGTGAAACTGGGTTAGACAAAGCAATAAAAATCAGTGCTTGGCACTCCTGACAAGGCTATTGACATAACCATTAACATAAGGACAAGATGTACATGTTTTATAACGTGCGTGATTGCTTGACACGAACACTTTTATCATATATAAATTAAGCTATGGTGTCAAAAAACAGATTAATGACGAAAACAACCACAATATTTGCTGATTCCAGATGAATGTTCCCTTTCTTACATTTAGGTGTGTGTGAAAATCGTTTTATATCAGCGAGAAATTTAAGTAATTCGTTAATGCGAGAGTATGACACGATAAAGGACTACGTGCGTGGCGGATTAACGTGCGTAACGAAGTTTGACACCAATCTTCGAGCAACTTATAAAGAGCATATTGCCGCTTCAGAGTTGAAACTTACCACTGGATCTATAACATCGCGTAAATGTGTAAATAAAATACAATCTCATTTACACATGTGATCGCGTATTTTGTATGAAAATAGGCTTTCTAACGTGCGTGACGAGTTTGACACGAAAAACGATAATGCACGCAACTGAGCATAAAAATTATTTTCCATATATACTTCATATAGCATTGAACACAATGAGAGCTCGGTGTATCCTCCTTTCGAAAAAACACTCATCTGACTTTTTGTAAAAATAATCAGCCTGGAGCTCATGAATAACGTGCGTGATGGTGTTTGACACCATGCATCACGCACGTTAGTTCTAAATTGACATTGTCTTATTTTTCGAGTATGGTAGATTTATTATCTGAAAACGAAATGATTCACATAGATAACCTCTGTAGACTTGTGGCAACACATTTTTCCGCCTCATTTCCAGAAAGAAAGATCCAGGGGATGTATCTCTGATGTACCCCCCAAAATTGCTTAAAAAACTGCAAAAACAGCTGGACACGAAGCCCAAAAAAGTGAATAACTTCAACAAATTTTAACATTTTCACCTGATATTATCCTCAGTATCTTTTTGACCTCTACTGAGTTGAATAAAATAATCGTTTTTGGCTATACTTCTCAAAATGTTGAGATATCGAGCATGTAATATTTGAACTTTTGAGTGACGAACTTTTGAAAAAGACCCATATATCAATACGACCAATGAATTTATTAGTTAATTATGAATTTATTTATGATAAATAAATTGTGAAAAAATTATTATCTGACCCAAATATTTTTGTCTTAATAATGATTTTTATTATTCTTTTGACCATTTATCCATTTAAGATAATAAAATGTAAATAATTATGTACTTTGGTCTTAAAATAATTGAAGGCTAAATATATAATATAGATAATATATATATATGTAACATTTATTTCTGCAATCCAATAAGTAAAAGTAAGTTCATATGATATGAATAGTAAAACTTTGAGTATGAATAAGAACAAGAAATACTTGAGGGGTGACATGGGTGACTTAAGAGTGACTCATAGGGTGAGACCAATTAGATCTTGGAATGTAGCGTTTTTACTCTTACGCCACATTTTAAACAGACCCGTGGTTCAAGAAAAGACTCATTATATCTAGAATATAAATTTGCTTTTTTAATCCTGCATGATAATAGGTTTTACGGCTAGTTCATTAAACAGTCAGATTAATGTTGTAGTTAGATGTAAAAGCCTTGTCAATATTCTGGTAAACTGACATTTTGCCCTCAGGTCACCCTAACCTAACTTTTAACTAATAGCTTCCTATAAAATCTTGTTGACGAATTTCCTCAATTCCTTAACCTCAAACGTCTTTCAGATGTTAAACGTGCAATTTATGATGCGATCGTGATCTAGTTGACATTCATGGAAACTTAAGTGAAATATCTCAAACAAACCTTATCATAAGTGTACATGTCATTTTGACCTTGTCTCAGTGCAGTCAGTATATTTTAGTCCAATAACCTCTAAAGTTCAATCTATTGTTCAAATCATGAGGTGATGTTTGTTTACATGATACAATATTTTATGCATATTTTGGCGAATTTCAGGGCTAAGAACATTGACTTTCACAAGATTTTTATATTTTACATGATATGATATTTTATGCATACTATATTTTATTTAAAAATGAATAGAATACTACAGTATACTTGAAAAGTGGACTTAATATTATAATCCAATCAGATCCATTTTATGGGTAAACCTATGCCTTTTCAACTTGGCTTGAGCCGGCTGAAATACATCCAGGGCATTTACATAACACATTGCAAGAAATGAAAACAACAACTGGTCATTCGAGGACAAAGGTCACACACAAGTCAAATGTCATTGTCCCATTTAATTGTCAACTCAGTCAGGGCTCTATTTTTAAGTAATTTCATTTTTATTGGAGATTATCGATTTTGACCAAATTTTTTTAAAATGATTTTTAACATGATAACTGTTTTATAATAAAAGAAAAACTTGTAATACCTGTATTACATAAATTTTTAGACAGATATAATCGACAAGTTCACATTAATCAACATAAAGTAGTTTTGCTCTCGATATCATTTCAAAGAAGTAATATCACAAAACATTATATTGAATTTATTTTATGTTTTATATATCTATACATGTTTTGTTTTAATGTAATGTATAATATGTAAATATCAGGGAGCGGGAACATCAATGCGTACGCCTGTGTAACGGGTAAGCCTATTACTCAGGGAGGAATCCATGGCAGAGTGTCCGCAACAGGGAGAGTGAGTAACGATTGAAACCCATTGAACTCATATGTACTAGTCAAGGAATCCTCTCACCCTCGTGTAAGACCAGTTTGGGGTTGCCATAAGTAAAATATAATCATAGATGCTTTGGTTTTAGTCTCTGACAATATGTACAATAATAACTGGTAAAATTATTGGAAATTATATTTTTACATGGAAATGATTGCAACTTGTGATTTCGCCAAACAGGCTCAGAGGCCTGGTGCCTGTTGTTAATAAAACCAGCTCAGTACATTAACCATTAAACGGAATTTATTTTATTTCTGCAAGTTAAGTTGATCTTTTAAAGGTGCAGTCTATTTGAACATTTTACTACAGGCAGCTCCAACTGGTTCAAACATGAAGTAAGGGAAAATATCAAAATAGAAAAATTACAAAATAGAGGGTTAATTCTATGTAAGATATAATAACTCCCCCCCCCCTCTAATTCCAAACTGGAATTAATATTTCCCTTCCCCTTTTATAATTTCTCACTCACATCCCAAAGGAAACCAACTTTCAAAATGTAATGATATTTTGATATGATCCCTTTCAGGGTGGAGGATACGTTTCAATTTTGTTTTTGATTTATTTCTAGGATGTGTGATTCTGAAATGACACTACTCAAACTCCTGTGAAATATGCATGTTGTATCTACTTCAAAGCTTTGAATTGCACAGTCTTTAACCCCCATGGGGTACCACCCCCCTCATCCTTTGAACCTCATTTCTTATTACAAAATGTGTGACTTATCACTAAAGGTATGAATGCACTTGCTGAAGGGGTCCAATTATAAGAACCCTTAAGCAAAATGCTATTTTCCTCTTACTGATAGTAGTGGTGTGCAAGTAACATGTACGAGGACTGTCCAATAAATGTTTGGAATTATTATAATTTCAGGGACGCCCCTTATATTTGTGTGCTAACCTTTACTTTCAGATAAACTTAATGATGTCATCACATTATGGTGTCATAACATCACAATATGATGTCATCATATCACATTATGGTGTCATCACATGTAGATATCATCACATCACATTATGGTGTCACCACATCACAGTGTCATTACAATAATTTCTTGACCGACCTCACAAATCTTTTAAACCCAAACCCATCGATTGCACATCTTTTTAGTTTGATTAATATCTGTTGATGTAGTTGCCCGTTTATTGTTAATTAGGGGATAAGGACCTGAACGCTAATGCGTGCGTCACTGGAAAGCCTATTACGCAAGGAGGTATCCATGGACGCATCTCAGCCACGGGGCGAGTGAGTAGCTCCATCTATCTTGCTCACGTGTTCGTGTTTCATGTTATCGCTTTCCATGGTTGGAATGATCTGCTTACGCTTCTTATTCTTCTTTGTATTATCTTTTAATTCCATGTTTTATTTTCAAATTTAAGATAACCAATAGTTAAATTTTAGTTAAAACATTTTTAGCTTGTTGACTTATAAGTTTAACTTTTCTCTAAATATTAGGCCTCACAGATTCTATGTTATACCCATGAATCCTTTCTTGCCAGAAATTATGTTATGCACATACGAATATTATTAAAACAGCTTGAACATGGTGGCTTTTTTTCAAAGATTAAAAATTAAGGATTGAAAATTAAGTCAATGAAAAAGTGTTGGCGTTGCGTGTTGAGGAAGTTATGCAAATAAGTAATTCTGAAAAGCATCTTAATGGTGCAAAGATGGAATTTAAAACCAATGTGTGTTGGCACAGATTACGGAGTATAGAGTATGCATAAACAGGACTTGCTTTCAGAGATTAGCAAAATTATATAAATGAATCTATTTCAAATACAATCTTAATGTTCAATGTTGTCTTGCATTCAGCTTCTGTGCTCTTTAAAACAGGGTCTGGATTATACACAGGGAGATATGCTGAGTACCAAAATAGTACAAAATTAGTACTCTGGCAAAAGTGCGCTCATGAGCACTCATGCCACGAGTGCTAATTTCGTACTAATTCAGTGATATGAGTACTCATTTAGTACTAAAAATGCAGTAAATCAGCACTCATGTCATTATGCTCATTTAGTACTTATATTTGATGAAATTAGTACTCAATTAGTGTTAAAATGCCATGAGTACTATTTTAGTACTCAACATATCTCCCTGTGTACCTTTGATGGGTTGTGTATAACTTTACCAGCAGTTACTAACTTGTGTAGATGTATAACTTCAATCTCTTATGTAGAATATGCTGTTGTTATTTATAACATGTAGATCAGTAAGTTGGTCAGGTTTCACCCAGAGGCATACCTTGTAATGATAAATATATGATATACACTAAAACTAGTCTGAAGTGAATGCTCTCATTGTGTTAGATAGCAGCCTTCTATTATTTCTTCTAGGTGAAGCAAAAATAGTTTGAGTAACAGAATAATTCTTCGCAAGACAAAAGAAGATTAACGTATCAATATGGAATGCTATTAGGATTGGCTTAAAGTATTGACATTTTGTACTTCTATTCTTAAGTGTCCGCCTCTTGTTATGTTCATACATGAGCAAGGCAAAGTTTTTACATATCAGAAATGAAAAAATCATTCTTCTGCTGTATTGTAAGTCTGTAAACATCAACCTTTCTAAAGTAAACATCTTTGAGGAACATTTCTAAGATTGATTTGGCCATTCATACCAGTAAAACTGCGACATGTGGACACCTACTAAACACGAACTAATGTGGAATTTTTTTCAGTCCTTCCTTCCTTAAACCATCATGATAAACCGTGCCATTTTCAACTTTTCTGTTCTAAACTGATCATATTGCTTGTGAACGTGAACTGTAAAGATGAGTGGAGCATAAGAGTTACTTAACTCGATTACACGTATTGCTCCAAGATAGCACAAAAAGCAATAATTAAATTATGGACTAGATTATTAAGTTATTTACATGATATATAGGGGCTCTTGGTTGGAATCTTTGATACTGATGAACTGGGGAAACATCTACATGTATTATTGATATGGTTAAAGCAGCATATTCCAGTAAGTCTATGTAATAATTAGTAGGTACCCTCATTTTACGTTAAGTCAGTATTCAATATGCAGCCTGTAAGATATGTTGCCATTTTTATTTGACAGCTTACCTATTGTATCACAGGTAATATAGCCAAATAAATATTTGGAGAAATAACTCAAACCACCTTTTTTAGATGCAATGCAGTAGACTGTCTTATATATGCACTAATTAAGAAATCAGATTATATTGCATCATTGATTTACCAATTCTTATCCCTTATGATAAATTCATTGAATCCAGGCCAAGTCTTTCTCAGTCTGGTTCAAAGCTCTTAGAAAACACAGCAATTGGGGTATATATTATGGAGAAATAACTCAATCCGGCCTTTTCTGGAGGCCATGCAGTAGACTGTACCTCAAGTTGAAAATAAGATTACTAGACTAGTATATTGCATCAGTGATTTTAAAAGAATATCCCCCTCCCTTCCAAACTATTTCTCCTTCAAAAGTTAAAGTTCAATATCTTCAAAATTTCTTGTATCCAGATCATGGTTATTTGGTAGGGTAGAGATCAAAGGATGACCTGTTCATAATTCAGAGTAAATAATCCATAAAACAAACTAAAAAGTAGATAAGAGGTGTGTCTCAAACTGCCATAAAACTAGAAGGGTCATGGTAACCTCCCTGGATAATGCCAAGGCCATCTAAAGTTGCTTATAGTTCATTTGGTAGTAATCATACATTTTACTCTTAAAGAGGCAGACCTCTTAAATGTTTTATCCAAAATTACTTAGCTACAGTGTCAGAACCTGGTCCAGTAAAACCTTTCTAATCTGGATGCCAATGGGAGTAACCAAAGGTGTTTTAAATTGGTAGGTGTTCACATTCAAGACTTTTCACATGGAAGTCATGGGAGACTGAAAATTGGACTGAAAAAGTGTTCACATTGAGAGGTGTCAGATTATAGAAGTGTTCAGATATACAGGTTTTACTGTACATGTAAATGAAGATATTTTTTTGTTGATGAAGGTCTCTTTAAAGAACCTGAAATCAGGGTATTGGAAAGGGTGTTATTAACATGAAAAATTATTGAGACCTGTTGTTGCTAAACATAGATAGACCTTGAATTGAATGAACCAACCTGGAAAAATGTTACCATACATATACAATGTTGTGGATGGTGCAAAGAAGACTCCTATGTACCTGTTCTTGGAAATAGATGTTACCATACATATACAATGTTGTGGCTGATGCAAAGAAGACTCCTATGTACCTGTTCTTGGAAAGGCCATGGTGTTATTCGAGTTCACCCATCAAGGAAGTCATGTCATTAATCATTTCTGTTGTTGTTAACAAAAATTGCAGTGAAACCTGTATATCCAAATACCTCTCTAATCTGAAGCAGAACACCTCTAAGTATATATATTTTTTTATTCCCAATTTCAAAATCTGGATAATGAACACTTCGTAAAAAAATTGAAATGTGAACACCTGCTAATATGAACACTTTAAGCCAGTCCCTGTGGTGTTTGAATTAGACAAGGTCTCCATATAACAGAGGGAAACTGAGATAACGTTTCATTTGATTTACTGTACATCGAGCAATAATCAGATTGACCGATAGTGAGTCAATACCTATTATAAAAGTGGATAGATCATTAAATAAGTTAATTGATAAGTCAAATATGCTAAGGTTAAATAGTTGAATTAGTTAATGGATAGTCAAAACATTATGTATTACAATAGTCAAATAGGTTAAATGATAGCCAAATTAGTTGAATTATTGTCAAATGTACATTAATGGATAGTCAAATGAATTAGTTAAACATCAGATAATCATAAGTTCTATGAAATAAAACATCCCCATAATCTATATCTTCGCACGCTCGGTCTTCACTTGCGACGGGAGCCGAGTGAACGAAGATGCATAATCTAACTATGGGTAAATACATAATCTAACTGTGTGTAGGATATGGTGATTTGCAAGCTGCAGCTGCTGTTACGGGTAAACCCATACGGGCAGGCGGCATACATGGGAGGGTCTCCGCCACTGGGCTGGTATGTCCTAGACATTAAGGCTAAGTTATCAAATAAGGAAAAATGTAAAATGATGATGATGAATCATGGGTAATGTTTACATGTATAAAGGATGATGAATCATGGGTAATATTTACATGTATAAAGGATGATGAATCATGGGTAATATTTACATGTATAAAGGATGATGAATCATGGGTAATGTTTACATGTAATAAAGAATGATGAATCATGGGTAATATTTACATGTATAAAGGATGATGAATCATGAGTAATGTTTACATGTAAAAAGGATGATGAATCATGGGTAATGTTTACATGTAATAAAGGATGATGAATCATGGGTAATATTTACATGTAATAAAGGATGATGAATCCTGGGTAATATTTACATGTAGTGAAGGGTGATGAATCATTGGTAATATTTACATGTATAAAGGATGATGAATCATGGGTAATGTTTACATGTAATTAAGGATGATGAATCATGGGTAATGTTTACATGTAATAAAGGATGATGAATCATGGGTAATGTTTACATATCATAAAGGATGATGAATCATGGGTAATGTTTACATATCATAAAGGATGATGAATCATGGGTAATGTTTACATGTAGTGAAGGGTGATGGATCATTATTTTTTTCAGAAAGTCCATTCATTTTGTTGTCATACCATATTTTCTCCTAACCCCTTACACTGCACATCTTTTGCTTTTTTAGCATGCTCTGTCTTTCATCTGTCTTTCTTTAAGTCTTTTTACCTTACATATCTTGTATTTTGCAGACTTTATTTATTTCATAAGACAATTTTAAAATGAAACATTTGAATAACAAAATATTTGAATAATAAAACATTTGAATAATAAAATATTTGCATAATAAAACATTTGGATAATAAAATATTTGCATAATAAAACATTTGAATGATGAAACATTTGCATAATAAAAATTTTGAATGATGAAACATTTCAATAATAAAACATTTGCAAGATGAAATGACTGTCCAAACTAATGTAAAATGTATATTTCAGGGAGTCTACCATGGTATCTACAACTTCATCAATGAGGCCAGTTATATGAGTTTGATTGGACTAACACCAGGCTTTGGAGACAAAACTGCAGTAATTCAGGTATAATATTGCACTTTTCTAGGTGCCATATTGTCGTTGTTTTGTGCTAATGCTCATCTGAATGTCTTGGTAGGTGGACATGAAGCTTGCCATCAAAACTTTAGAAAAACTGTTTATTAACTTGAAATTTTTACAGATGCAAGAGCAGACTAGTGCCAGCATCTGATTTTGAATTTTTCAGTAAAAAATTCAGATATATATCACTATGTGTGTATGTGCTGTCTTGCTTTTTGGCTCACATGACTATAGAATCACTCACTTGTCCATCAATAGTCAGTAATTTTGAGACCTGCCATTTATCTAAATGCTTATTCCCATTTTATGGTGGTTCAAAACTGGTAATTTAGGCCATTTGTCTCAATTTCACTTTTGCTGAAGTCAAATGAAGTTTTCAAAAGAGTATTCTTTCATGCAATTAAAATTGATCAATTAAGAATTTGCATCAGTTAAGAAAGATCTGATGAGGACTGGTTTTAAAGCTGTGTATTAAAACGCATTTTTGAGAGAAATATGCCCCAGTCATAACCATATACTATTTATACATAGTGTGGAGTTGCAAATGATATCTAAAATTACTAGTCCTTTCTCTTGCAAAAATACTGCAGTATACTTTGAATCTTTCTACGACATTTGTATGTGTTTATAAAATCGAAATAAATAATCTATTTTACCACTCAACAAATTCTTTGAAGATTTAAACAATCCAGCGTCCAGCTTAAAACATGTTATACCATAAGAGTACCAACTTTTTGTCCCAGGTGTATCAACAATAGTTACCTTCTATTCTTTCTTTTTAGGGATTTGGTAATGTAGGTCTTCACACCATGCGATATTTGCATCGTGCTGGTTGCCGCGTCATCGGAATCAAAGAGATTGACTGCCAGCTGTATAACCCAGAAGGCATTGACCCAAAGGAACTGGAAAACTACAAAATTGTAAGTATATGTAATGAAGTTTTAGATGATATGTTGACGATCATTCTCTTTATCATCCTGTTGTCCAGTATAATTCCTTTATTGTACCTAAACGTATAATAGTCTTGTATTTATTTAGTGTTTTTATGGATTTATGTTCTATTTCCTGTCTACTTGTGAGTTCTGATCTCTATTATAATAAACTTTTGGAAAATTGAATTTTAGGAAAATGGCACGTGTCGAGGTTTCCCAGGAGCAGAAGAGTATGACGGGGACTTGCTATTCTCCAAATGTGACATCCTGGTACCTGCTGCCAGCGAGAAACAACTGACAGCTGCCAACGCACACAAAGTCCAAGCTAAGGTAGACCTTTTATAACATTTTGTATTATTCTTTGATAAATACTACCAAGAACTTTGAATGTCACCATAAAGAAGAGGTAGCATAGCGTAGCATATTGTTACAGTCACTATTTTTTGTGATTGGCGTCAACATTTATGATAATACCCAGGTGATTCTTAATTTGAAATAAGTGTGTGGAATTGTTTTTGTACCCATGGAATTATTTTACATATGTATGCAGTAATATCTATGTTTTTCACTTTAGATCATAGCAGAGGGCGCCAATGGTCCCACCACAATTGCAGCAGATAAAATCTTCATTGAGAATGAAGTTCTCGTTATTCCAGTAAGTTCTTTACTTATATTTACTGTAAATTGTTTGAATTCGATGTCCACTTTAATTTTGTGATTCACCTATTAGGATCACTTATTTAAATCTCTATCAATAACCAGTTCACAATGGTTTTTCAAAAGATCGCCAGTTTACAATGTTGTCCTTATATGGTATTTTAGTAGAACTGCACAAAATCTTTCAAATCAAGTACTTTTTGGTGTCGTATTGTCTATGGTATGCAGTTTTTTAGCTAATCTAATAAATCAACAACAGTTTGATATTCAACTTTGTAAAGAGTTTTCAAACATGACCATGCTATACCAGAATCTCTCATCCAATCAAAATGCAGCATAGCTGTTTCTTAACTCTCAATAGATGAACAACCATTCATTATGCAATCGGCATCAGTGAATCTATGTATTATGTATTATTGTGATGTCACATCGTTGAATGGTGAAAATGACTGCAAGTTGTTAATTTCATGAATCTCAATCCCCAATTTTCTGAGCAATATTTTCATTTTTTATTTTTGAATCAGAATAAATAATGATGGTGAAATTCTTCAATGTGTGCTTTGTACAATATTCTGTCCAACCTGTGCTGAATTTCACCATATCGAATGGTCTTTTATTATTTATTCTTTAAATAAAATAATATTCTAGGATCTGTACCTAACGCTGGTGGTGTAACTGTATCATACTTTGAATGGCTAAAATTGTAATTCTTCAAATATTCTAGGATCTGTACCTTAACGCTGGTGGTGTAACTGTATCATACTTTGAATGGCTAAAATTGTAATTCTTCAAATATTCTAGGATCTTTACCTTAACGCTGGTGGTGTAACTGTATCATACTTTGAATGGCTAAAATTGTAATTCTTCAAATATTCTAGGATCTTTACCTTAACGCTGGTGGTGTAACTGCATCATACTTTGAATGGCTAAAATTGTAATTCTTCAAATATTCTAGGATCTGTACCTTAACGCTGGTGGTGTAACTGTATCATACTTTGAATGGCTAAAATTGTAATTCTTCAAATATTCTAGGATCTTTACCTTAACGCTGGTGGTGTAACTGCATCATACTTTGAATGGCTAAAATTGTAATTCTTCAAATATTCTAGGATCTGTACCTTAACGCTGGTGGTGTAACTGTATCATACTTTGAATGGCTAAAATTGTGATTCTTCAAATATTGTAGGATCTTTACCTTAACGCTGGTGGTGTAACTGTATCATACTTTGAATGGCTAAAATTGTAATTCTTCAAATATTCTAGGATCTTTACCTTAACGCTGGTGGTGTAACTGCATCATACTTTGAATGGCTAAAATTGTAATTCTTCAAATATTCTAGGATCTGTACCTTAACGCTGGTGGTGTAACTGTATCATACTTTGAATGGCTAAAATTGTAATTCTTCAAATATTCTAGGATCTTTACCTTAACGCTGGTGGTGTAACTGCATCATACTTTGAATGGCTAAAATTGTAATTCTTCAAATATTCTAGGATCTTTACCTTAACGCTGGTGGTGTAACTGCATCATACTTTGAATGGCTAAAATTGTAATTCTTCAAATATTCTAGGATCTTTACCTTAACGCTGGTGGTGTAACTGCATCATACTTTGAATGGCTAAAATTGTAATTCTTCAAATATTCTAGGATCTGTACCTTAACGCTGGTGGTGTAACTGTATCATACTTTGAATGGCTAAAATTGTGATTCTTCAAATATTGTAGGATCTTTACCTTAACGCTGGTGGTGTAACTGTATCATACTTTGAATGGCTAAAATTGTAATTCTTCAAATATTCTAGGATCTTTACCTTAACGCTGGTGGTGTAACTGTATCATACTTTGAATGGCTAAAATTGTAATTCTTCAAATATTCTAGGATCTTTACCTTAACGCTGGTGGTGTAACTGTATCATACTTTGAATGGCTAAAATTGTAATTCTTCAAATATTCTAGGATCTTTACCTTAACGCTGGTGGTGTAACTGCATCATACTTTGAATGGCTAAAATTGTAATTCTTCAAATATTCTAGGATCTGTACCTTAACGCTGGTGGTGTAACTGTATCATACTTTGAATGGCTAAAATTGTAATTCTTCAAATATTCTAGGATCTGTACCTTAACGCTGGTGGTGTAACTGTATCATACTTTGAATGGCTAAAGAATCTGAACCACGTTAGTTATGGAAGGCTGACATTCAAATATGAGAAGGACTCCAACTACCATTTATTAGGTATGTACTATTGGGAGCTATATTGTGATCAGTTTGTTGGGCAAGCAGGCGTCCTGATAAATCTTGTCTACAGGTTTCCAGCCAAATCATTTGAGGGATTCATCTGAAATTTTCCTTCTTTAACATTTGCTGGAATTACACCAGAAAATATGCTAAAAACCCTTTAGTGGAAGACGCTTTACAAAATCACCATCCTGATTACACCAACATTTCTAAAGCGCCCTAGGAATTTTATTTCGGAATTACACCTGTCACTTTTACACCACACACTTTTAACGATGTAGATATGGAGAATATCCAGCAGATGTGTACATATACTGTAAATATATTTTTTTAGCATCTAAGACAAAGCTGATCTGCCATCATTTGACTAAAAAACTTATCAATTTTGAGAAAATAAAATAAAAAAGTTAAACGAAAAACATGTACATGTTCCCTGAAGATAACACTTGATTCCAATATGACCTGACTTCAATCATCCATTTTTATACAACTTAATACGTCTTATTCTGTTAGAGCTTATGGTAAAAACTTGGGTAAGGTGTTTTACAAAAACCGATCGCCATAACACTACACTCCAAAAGCGCCTAACAACTAAGGGCGTTTCTAGGAGTTTTGGAAAAGCTCTTTTGTAAAATCGCAATCGTGATTACACCTTATTTTCCAACCAGGTGTAATTCCAGCAAATAATTCACCCCTCAGGATAACAGTCCATATCTCAAAATATATTATGTCACATGTTGTGAAAAACTAATATAATATTCTATATATCGTTTACTATATTTACTGATTTATATAAAATGTTTTATGATAAATGGCTACTTATAAACATATACATGTAGAGCTTCACAACAAATGATGCTGTAGTGTAAAAAAAAATAAGTACACATAAGTGATTTATGAACACTTTTCGACTGAGTATGAATCTCTCAAAAATCACACCTGTCTGCTGCTCTAAGTTGCTGTTTTTTGTTTTACTTTTTTTTTATACATAAATTTATTCCTTTAGTAAACAATAAAAGACATGCAATTGATTGCCAAAGTTTTATAAAAAACATAAGCGGCAATTTTAGACAATATGAATAGGAATACATTAAAATTTAAAATTTATCAAAGTAATGTTTTCACTCATATAAGAAACTATAATCCCATGGGCCAGTGATGTGTCAACACATGCATGCAAAAATTAGCCAAACCGATCAATTTGGCTCAGACTTGAGTTTTGTTCGGTGGGATTTGCTACTCCGTGGAGTTGCTGTTTTTCTAGTTATTTATTTATTTAAAGCAAAGAAACACCCATTCTCAAACACTTACAAAACACACGTGTACAATGTGGATGGCTTGTGCGCGACCCGTTTATTAGAGTAATCATATAATATACAGAATCATACAGGTTTCACAATCTCTCTGCGTCTCTATCATCAATCCCTCTCAGGGATTCTAGACTAATGCACCGAGCATTGTCGTGGCCTCTTAGCCATTTAAACATAATTTTATCTGAAAAAACAATAATCAATCTCTCCGAGATTATTTCGATTATCCTTAATCAATGCACCGAGCATTAACGAAGCTTCTTTGCCATTTGAACACTATTATATGTGCAATAAATGTTTTCAGTCAAAACATCGTTGACCTGTTCCGGCATACATTCTATGTGCAAAGACAATTCAACTTAACAGTTTATCTCTCAGTTTTCTACTAAATGATGTGAAACAAATATATCAGCGGCTATACATGTAACTTTTTCTGTGAGCCAAACATGAACTGTCAAAATTAACAGTAATCATCACATTTAAAGACTTCAAATTTTTAAGTTTCAAGATTACTTTGATAAAATGAGATAATGAATAACATATCTAAGTTGTTTTGAACTTTTGTCAGTTTCGCGGAGACCCTTCTCACGAAGTGTAAGAAGTACCTAATCTATTGTTTTTAGATAGGAGGTCTACCTACATCCTAAGCTGAAACTGACGATGGTGTAGGCTCCAAAGCTCTATTGTAAAATATTGAAATATATTAAACTGTATTTAACAAATGCCTTCTAATGGTTTTATTACATTAACAAATATTTACCTTAAAATAAATGAAATATCTGGTAAATTAAGTGAACAACCTATCTGATCCGCATAAGAAGCCGAAGTGACCAATTTACCTGAATAATCCATGACCAATCACACGACAGTACACCCAACAAACAAATTCGAGCCTCGGTATCGCATTTAGCGCCAAATTCAAAAGTGTTATAACACTTCAGTTAATGCATTAAATCATTTTCGAACTTATTCACTACATTCAATCGTTAGAAAATACATTTAAAGCAAAGAAACACCCATTCTCAAACACTTACAAAACACACGTGTACAATGTGGATGGCTTGTGCGCGACCCGAAGATCAAAGATGCAGAGAAAATTAGTAATGAATAATATCATAAGCAAAGTACTCTGGCCTTAGACACCAAAATTTAACGTAACAAACGTTCTTTTATATAACTATCTATATAAACATTTTTTGCCGATTTACTCTTCAGCAACAATGAGCTTTAATTCATGTAATTATATACCAAGGTTTAACGTGACAGACAATCGTTCTTTTATATCACTTACTACATAGCCATCTTTGGCTGATTCGCTTTTCCAGCGACTGTGGGCTTTAAACAAGCGATCATTTACACCGCTATTTGCTGCCGCCCGCGGTAGCACCGCCAGATCTTAATGAATGTAGCCCAAATTCTTTTGAGTTTACACCTATCTCTTCTAAAGCCTCCAAAACCATTTTTCTACATGAAGTATAACTGAGTTTTGAATCACATTTTCGCAATGCATGCGTATCTGTATTTTTAAAATATGTCATGGCACCAAAAAGGTATTTTTCACTTTCTGAACTCAAACCAACTGCTTTCATGTATTTTTGAAGAATATTGTAAGGACAAATGTTTGAGTTAGTCTTTGCTATGATAACATTGTTACCATTTCTGTACTGATCTGTTTTAGATCTCTCTATGAAGATATCTATATAAGAATCTGTAAACACGATATCTTTTCCCCGTAGGGAAGATATCTCATCGTATCTAAGAAACCCTGCGAAAGCAAGAATCATGAAAGCTGCCGTTCTGAGATTTTTAACACTTGAATCTTTGTTTGCAAAATTGTTGACTATCTTTTCAAGCATTTCCGTAGTTACAGGGGATTTTTTGATACATTTACTACCTAGTTTTCGTTTTGCACCTTCTGTGACCAGAGATACTAACGAATGATTGCATGGGGATGAAAAACAGGCCATCTCGTGTGCCCACGATATCCCATACTTAACTGAATAAACGGAAGACATTGACTTAGCAGTCTGGGATACCCCTAGTAAATAAATTGCTACATATTTAGGATCTGCTGGTAGAAAGCTTACATTTAAACTTATGCACCACTGTTTGAATTTTTGAAAACTTGAATTATACGACTTTACAGTTTTTGGTTCCTTACTACCAAGAACGAATTGTGGAAGTTCATCTGTTAGGGATTTCAATTGTTCATGTTTTGTGCCAATGTCACGAACATCTGTCCATGTAGATGATGTGAATATATCCTCACACTCCTGGAAATATAGTGTAAGAAAAAGTTACACACAGTTGCTATAAGTTATGACAAAGTTAAAGTTTACACGTACTCAATCACATACACAGATATAACTTACTATTTACGCATAAGTATATTTTCTAACTAACCATCAACATATATTGATTTTATAAAGTTTTGCAATGATATTTCTGTTAACCTAGACAATTCAAATTATCTCAAGGAATCACTCTACCCTTAATCACATTCTAATCTTTCTTGATTTTAGAACTCCATTCTAAGCGCCAACAAACTGCTAGCGAAATTGTTTTTAAAAACACTGTTTCTCTGTGACCCTGTCACAAAATAATTACCACCTTTCGGGAACTCTATTACATGCTTTATACACGGGTGATATTTTCCACCATCATTTATTACTGGCCAAAAAAGAGCCGATTGCCATTTTGGAACAACAAGAGTACCATTTGCTTTTTGATTCAACATATGAGTAAAGGCCTTTATAACAAGACATACAGGGGGAACAACCCAATTGTTTTCTCCAGTCCACGTCTGAGTGAAGGCGTCTACTGCCTCTGCTTTTTCGCAATAATGCCTGGAATTGAAACGTGTCAGTTTATTGTTGTAACTGCTTGCAAATCTATCTACGGTATGCCTACCCCATCTACAATCAATATATTTGAATACATTTGAATCTATACCCCAATCGTCGAGATCTTCAATTTTCAAAATGCTGTCTGCAATCGTGTTCAACTCTCGAGGAATCCATTCTGAAAAAATAGTTACATTTTTGGACAAACACAATTCATGAATTTCAAGTGCCAGTGTTTGAAGTTCTTCTCTCATACTACCTTTTGTGATAATTGTAACCACGTTCTGATTGTCCGTGAACCATTTTATACTTTGGCCTTGCAATAGATGTATCAATGATATTAGAACCACCAAAACTCCCTTGAGCTCTCTCCATGTAGAACTCTTTGTCATCTCAATCTTATCCCATTTTTGATGACAAATATGACCTTCAAACTCAACAACATAACCACCACATGCTATACTGCTTGCATCCGAGTATACTACTCTGGATATCTTTGGAACTGAATCTATGGACTTACCATTAAGCCTTTGTAAATTTTCTTTCCAGAAATTAAGTTCTCTAATTGCATTTTCTGGTAAGTAGGACTAGATCACCAATTGCATGTCGTATAGCTATCAATTTACCTGTTATTGATGACACCTGTCTGGCAGTTGTTTTGTGACTATAATTCAATACGGTATCTATGTTAGACAAAATGCCCTGTAATTTTTTGATTGGTACAAGAATTTTACCTAATTCCATGTCAAAATCAAATCCTAGCCACTGTTGCAACAACGTAGGTTCCCAATTTGATTTTTTGTCATTTGCAAGAAAACCAGATTTTTCTAAATCTGAACGTATT